CAGAATCTAAACCGCACATAAACATACTTCAGTTTTCTAATCTGTGTTTAGTAGTTAAGTAATACTTTGAGAAATATCTTTTTGAGTATACTACTAAGAAATTGTTCAGCCAGGAAACAGCTTGAAACTTGTGGAACCACTTGGAAAATGGAAGTTGGGAATCCCGTTGCTAAGAATATATTTCCAAATGTGCAGTTGCATCACACTCCTTTTCGTCCTGGCAAGAACAGTTACGTTTTTTTTCAGAATTTGGATCTCAGTTTGATTGGCCATAAGTTGTTTTTTGTATAATGTTTGTGGCTCAAAAGGATTTATTTATTGGATTTTTTGATTTATAGACTTTACTGTCAAGCTCCTTCTAGTCTGTATGCATAAGGTATAGCATTAATGTTTCTAATGAATGGCTATAGTTAAACTGTACCATCTTCATAAGTTGAGATTTCCATTGTTTTTGCTAAGTTAGGCCTATGTCATGCCACAGCTTTTAGAAATATTGTAAGCATCTACTTTGGGAAAGCACTGTACCACACTTACCAAGTTAATCCTGTTAATACATATGTTTACTATTTAATCTTCAGGGAACAGATCTGGGATTAGTGGTATTTCTAATCCATTGTCCATCAAGTTGTTTTCTCCCACATCTCATAGAATGGGAGAATGAAATCCTTTTTTTTTTTTTTCAGATGTAGTCTCACTCTGTCTCCCAGGCTGAAGTGCAGTGGTGTGATCTCAGCTCACTGCAATGCAACTTCTACCTCCCAGGTTCAAACGATTCTCCTTTCTCGGCCTCCTGAGTAGCTGGGATTACAGGTGCCTGCCACCATGCCCAGCTAATTTTAGTGTTTTTAGTAGAGATGGGGTTTCACCATGTTGGCCAGGCTAGTGTTGAGCTCCTGACCTCAAGTGATCTGCCTGCCTCAGCCTCCCAAAGTGCTGGGATTACAGGCACGAGCCACTGCACCCAGCCGAATGAAAATTATTTCACTTTTCCCTTAGGCTATTCTTGACTCCCTTTTCCAATATTCATTGTCTTCTAAAGGGTCCCTTAAACTATGCAGAAGAGGAACCTTCGGATGAAGAAAACATTAAATCATTAAGTGTTTATATATGTTGCAGCCATTCCGAGGTATTAAAATGAGAGAACCAGGTGGCATGGTGGCATGGTGCACAACTGTATTCCCAGCTACTCAGGAGACTGAGGTGGGAGGATTGCATAAGGCCAGGGGTTTGAGACCAGCCTAGGCAACACAACAAGACCCTGTCGCAAAAAAAAAAAAAAATACTTCCCGAAAGGTTTAGAGGCAAGGGCAAATCTGAGCTAAAATTATTTGCATATTACTCTTTTGGGAGGAGGTACAAATCACTTTAGGAGCCCAGGAGTTGCTGTTTGGGTGCACAGACACCTCACCTTCAGAATTTCTTTCCCATCTCACTACCTGTCCTATCTGCAGACTTACATGCTCGGGCATTCTGGGTCTCCTCTGGGTTCAGTCCCTGGATGGAAATAAGGAAGGCCTGGTCAGTCCCAGGTGGGTGCCGCTGAGCACAGGGAGAAGCGTTTTGCTCTTCCCAGGTGATTGCTTGTCTGCAAACCAGTGGTAAAAGCGTACTCTTGCTAAAATCTGTGGTTCAAAATGCCACAGCCCCCTTTTTGCAGTAACGTGATGTGTTATGTTTACATTAACATGGTTAATGGTTTTGTTTTCTGTTTTCCAGTTATGAAAAACCTCCTCCTGGGCTCATCAAGGTTGGTGTGAAGTTTGTACTCTTGGTTATTCCACTAGACATACTTGTGGACTTAGTAACGTGTTACGAAAAATGGTTGCAAAACGTTTAAATCTCCTTTTACCAAAAGCCTGTTTCTTTTCTGTGGATGCCTGAGGGGTCATAATTTTTAGTTTTGTCACAAGCCTCTGCCTTTGTGGAAATTTCCTCAGCCGTGTTTCCCTTCCCTGAAGAACCGGTGCAGACCCACGTGGGCTCCTTGGCCGTGCCCCTTCTCTCTTGCTGGTGACGGCATCTCTAAGCTCCACTGCCTCCTTTTCCTGTCAGCCTCACCCGGCTCTGCCCCTCGGTCCATCCTGCGCTGGTTTCTTGAATATGAGCAGCTCAGAGAGCAGTAAACTCTGAGACCCGACAGCTCAGCCAGTCCAGCTCCCCAGTGCAGGCCTCCCTTCTGCAGCTCCCTGGCCACAGTACCAGGGTGTGTGTGCACGAGGGAGGCTTAGAGTGGCAGGCCATGGCCGAGAAAACTTGCTGTCTCACAGCTCTCAATGAGGAAAGATTCTTTAAGAACATTTGTCTATTGCAAATTTAATATTCATAGAAACTTGAAAAAAAATCCAACCGTTTAAAAACTCGTGAATTGTAAATGTAGTTAGTGAGTGGTAAAAATGCGTATCGGAGATACAGCATGTGTGCGACTCTGAAACTGACAGGGCCTTCAGGGTATAATGAGCTATTCCAGCATAACAGGCCATTTCTATTACTCCAGGAAGCCTGGCTTAACTTTAATTATACATTTTGAGGTGGTGAAACTTTTTCTTTTAATCTCAGAATCCAATTTACATCAAAATTTGGAGCTCACCAGTCACTGCTATATAAGGACATTTTTCTGCTTCACCAGTAACTTTTCTCTAAGAACAGCTATATTGTTTTTATTACAGTTCTTTTGGTACATTTGTTTCTTGTTTTTTCAATCAGGTGTAACTTGTCTTTCTTTCTAGTTCTGAGGGGGAATTAAGGGGATGTTGGCACCGGCAGCCCAGGAAAAAGCCAGGCGAGGATGGCTCTACGGGCAGTGGGAGAGAATCCCAGCACTCTTGCCTTGCTGTTTACACCTGTTCCCTTTGTTTAGGAAGATGAGGCTAAGCCCGAAGACTGCATACCAGATGTACCAGGCAATGAACATGCCAGGGAATTTCTGGCTCACGCACCGACGAAAGGACTTTGGATGCCACTGGGGAAAGAAGTCAAAGTTATGCAGTGTGAGTGTGGGAGAGTTTCCCTGATGCACGCGGCTTCCAGGCTGCAGTTCTGCTTTTATTTAGCTTGTTCTCACCACAGCCCTGTTACAGCCAAGGCATGTTCTCCATCTTCCAGATGAGGAAGCATCCACCCCATCCCCCACCCTCGTGCCATGTGAAGACAAAGAAAGAGGGCTGTCATCTTAAGCCAGGAAGGAAGCTCTCACCATAGGCCCATCTTGCTGGGACCCTGATCTCAGATTTCCAGCCTACAGAATGAATGAGAAAATCAGTTTCTGTTCTTTAGGCCACCCAGAACACAGCATCTGTTACGTCTGCCCAAGCTGACTAAGACACCATCTTCCTGCAGGTTCCCGTAGCCTCTCTCCTGTGTTAGGTCACTCATTGTCCTGTGTCTTCAGTCTTCTTTATTATTGTATTCTCTCCTTAGGGTACAACAAATCCTATGGCAGTTACCTTCAAAATAAGTTTAGAGATGATAGAGATGTCAAGACCTTTACTTTTCTAGAATCGTCTTTGACAGATTCTTAACTTTACCAGGATATTGAATTCTAATTTAAAAATCAGTTTCCTTGAGGATTTTGAAGGGAATGCTTCATTGCCTTGATCATTTGTTAAAAGCAAAGACAGCTTGCCCTGAAACATCTGAGTTCAGTACCTGTCAGTTTTTCTTCTTTGGGTGGGTTGTATTTTCACAGCCGTGCTGTGAGTGTTCTGGGAGCTGAGCGGGGGAGTCTGGACATGTGTCCATCTGCTCTTCATTCATTCCTGTGATCCTTTGTGGCTACTGCAGCAGCTTCCTTCAGACCTACCTGATGTCTCCCTGGTCTCTGGCCAGATGTCTTCTGTTTTACCTTTTCCACAAATTAAACAACCCTCTCTACCAGGGTCAGGGAAACAGGGTCTCACTCTGTCACCCGGGCTGTAGTACAGTGATACGATCACGGCTTGCTGCAGCCTCAACCTCCCAGAATCAGGTGATCGCACCTCAGCCTCCGGGGTAGCTGGGACTGCAGGTGTGCACCACCAGGCTCAGCTAATTTTTTTCTTTTGTACTTTTGTAGAGATGGGGTTTCACCGTGTTGCCCAGGCTAGTCTTGAAATCCTGGCCTCAAGTGATCCACCTGCCTCTGCCTCTCAGAGTGCTTGGGTTACAGGCATGAGCCACTGTGCCTGCCAGCCAATGTTAATATTTTAAGAGAACCTGTGATTTTGTTTACTTAAAACTAAGAGATTTGAACAGAGGTTGACTTATCCTGAGAAAGAAGCTATTCTAGTGTCTAAATTAGTAAATGAGAAACAGAGATACTTTATGAAAACATTTACTCTGAAAAATGTACTGAGACACTCTTTTAAAAATTCATCTTTTGGGATGGGCATGGTGGCTCACGCCTGTAATCCCAGCACTTTGGGAGGCCAAGGCGGGCGGAACACCTTAAGTCAGGAGTTCAAGACCAGCCTGGACAACATGGCAAAACCCCGTCTCTAGTAAAAATACAAAAATTCTCCAGGCATGGTGGTGCGCACCTGTAATCCCAGCTACCCAGGAGGCTGAGACAGGAGAACTGCTTGAACCCAGGAGGCAGAGATTGCAGTGAGCTGAGATTGCACCACTGCACTCCAGCATGGGCGACAGAACAGGACTCCATCTCAGAAAAAAAAATATATCTTTTGAAGTAATTTTCCATTGGATTGTTTCCTAAATAAATACTTGCTGATAGAATATTACTTCTAAAGACTAAAGGATGCTTGGGGAAGCAATTAGTTTACCTCTGTTTTCTGGGACCTTACATGGCTTGCACATGATTATATTTTGTTTTAGAATTGGAGTTTAGTGAAGAAAAATTTGAATATATTCCACTGGTTCTTTATCCTGAGTAGGTGAAGCTGCATTATCTCACAGAAATACTTTTCTGTTTGTTTTTAGGCTGGCGCTGTAAACGGTATGGTCACCGAACTGGGGACAAAGAATGCCCTTTCTTCATCAAAGGCAACCAGAAGTTAGAGCAGTTCAGAGTGGTAAGTAAAGCCCCCGTGTCAACTCACATTTATCAGAGACGGCGAAAAGCAGTGACACAGCAAGTCACCAGTGAGGCGAATGTTCACGTAAAGTACGTTCCCAGAAGCCTTTTGGCCAAAGTATATGCCGTTAACGACATGCTTATTAAACTACATTTGTCTGACGAATTAATTCTTACTAACATGTTCCTTGCTTATAACTTGGAACAGTGATTTTTTTCTGAAGCAGACATTGTTATCTGTTTAGCCCCCTCTTTTGAAACTTACTATGTAAAAAGCCATGTTTCATAACTAAAATCAGGGATTTAATTTCCCAGTCTTCAAAGAGTACATATCTCAATTGTAAGAGTAAAGTGTCCATATGTTTTTTCTTTAGCTGATGTTCAGTTCCTGTTTTCCGTTTGTTTGTTTTTGAGGTGGCAGTGTTACAGCTCTGTGATCACTCCTGCAGAGCAGGGCTACCCCAAAGGCGGTCTGTGAAAGTAGCCATTTCCTGTATTTTCTCATTGGAAAATCCTTTTTTTAGCCTTAATGAGTTTTCAGTGATGTGACCCTTAAAAGGATGAGAACATGTTGAACATGCAGATACATCAAACAGTAAAAAAAACATTAAACTGGATTCCATAATGTAAGGATTTCATTGTATTTAACTTGGGGTCCATGAAGCCTGACCGAACCTTAACCTTCTCTGACCCTTAAGGCACATGAAGATCCCATGTACGACATCATACGAGACAATAAGCGACATGAAAAGGATGTAAGGTGAGGTCGTCCCGATGGTAACAAAATCCTCTTAAAGTTTTAAAATTGTATAAAGTTGGAGAAAGCCATTCTAGTGTTAGCAGAATGGTGTAGTAAACATGGTACTTCAGTTGTGAAAACGTGTAGAGTGAGGAGTTATGGCTGGAAAGACCAGTGTTGGGGAATGAGCATCCTCCTCCTCCTCCTCCTCCTCCTCCTCCTCCTCCTCCTCCTCCTCCCCCTCCTCCTCCTCCTCCCCCTCCCCCTCCCCCTCCTCCTCCTCCTCCTCCTCCCTCCTCCCTCCTCCTCCCTCCTCCCTCCTCCCTCCTCCCCCCTCCCCCCTCCTCCTCCTCCGTCGTCAGCTGAAAGCTGCGGGCTTGCTCTCGTCCTCTGGCTCTGCAGTAACATTGGCAGCCCATGCTGTGCTGTCTGCTTGTACAGCACAGTGGCTCCTTTCATGTGATTCAGTTTATCTCCTCCAGTGTCTTGCGGGATCTGAGCTTTTGTTAAAAACTATACTTAGGCCAGCCTCAGTGCCTCACACCTGTAAATCCTCATACTTGGGGAGGCCAAGGCCAGCGGATTGGTGAAGTCCAGGAGTTTGAGACCAGTCTGGGCCACATGGCAAAACCCCATCTTTACAAAAAAATATAAACACAGAAATTAGCCAGGTATGGCAGCACACACCTGTAGCTCCAGCTACTGGGGAGGATGAGGTGGGAGGATCTGCTTGACCCCAGTAGGTTTAGGCTGCAGTGAGCCATGATTGCACCACTGCACTCCATCCGAGGTGACAGAGCAAGACCCTGTCTCAAAAAAAAAAAATTAGACATGATTAGAGAGAGGTGGAAAAAATTGGAGGGTTTGTTTTTTCAAATTGGTGGCATCAAATTGTAACTGTTAAAGACGTAGATTTAGAAACTGAGCGGTAGGGGAATGGCTTAGTACGTATGCAGCTATTAGAAGTTACAGTTGTAAGTACTGTGGAAACATGCAGAAATATTTCGGACAATGAAAAGAACACAAAATGGCTTGTACACTGGTTACAGTCATGTAAAGTAGGCATTCAAGTGGATAAGAATGGAGCAAACAGGTAGAAATAAAAATAAGTACTGTCTTTGTGACGTGGTTATTCATGACCACCCCCCCATGAGGCTTTTGAATGACATATTTAAGAAACTTTTAAGTTAAAGCTAAAACTCACTGTTCTTTGATCAATCTTGAATGTTTAGGATACAGCAGTTAAAACAGTTGCTGGAGGATTCTACCTCGGATGAGGATGGGAGCAGCTCTACTTCCTCTGAAGGTAAAGAGAAACACAAGAAAAAGAAGAGGAAAGAAAAGCATAAGAAAAGGAAGAAGGAAAAGAAAAAGAAGAAAAAACGGAAGCACAAATCTTCCAAGTCAAATGAGAGTTCTGACTCAGAGTGACAAGAACATGGCTTGTTCAACATTCTCTTCTCAAACACTGGCCAAGGAACAGAGGAAGATGCAGTCAGAGAAAGGACCAGAGGACATGTGAGTCACAGAGTGAGCTCCCGCCCGCCTTCCAGTGAAGACGTGACCCCAGGACAGGGAGTGTCTCCTTCCAGGTGCTAGCTCTAGACAGTGGCTGATTTTAGGCAGGAAAGTGTCTGGTGGTGTCCTCCCTGCTGGTCACATGCATTTGCGATTCCTTTGAAATGTCCTCCACAGGGTGGCAGGACTGAGGGAATCTCTGAGGGATCTTCCAGTTCCTGCCACAGCTTGTGCCCTCCACAGTGTGGACTCAGTTCCCGTGGATGTCAGGCTTGAGTCTTCTCTGTTGTTGAGAATAATAAAAGTTCAGTATTTATTTTTTAAATGGAATGTAATTATTTATGAATAATACGTAAGTGTAAACAATACATAATACAAATGTAAAAGGTACATAAGATCTCATCACGAAAACTCTCCTTTTCCTTCTACTACAGTTACCTTCCCCAATGTCTACCAGCAGTACTAGTTCCTTGGGAATATTTTATATATCACAAGCAGGTACAAGGTTTTTCTTACACAAATGCTATCCACATTCACTCACAGATAGTTAAGTTTTAAACTGAGAAGCGTGACCCTTACAGTGGTCAGTATCTGAGGAGGGTTGGATCCAGGACCAACTCCCTCAATCCCTCACAGATACCAAAATCCATAGATGCCCAAGTCCCTTACATTAAATGGCATGCCATTTGCCTATTGCCGATACACACCTTCCCATATACTTTAATTCATCCGTAGAGTACTTATAATACCTAATACAATTTAAATACTTGTTATAATGTATTGTTTAGGGAATAATGGCAAGAAAGAGAGTCTGTGCATGTTCCATAGAGACAGAACCATCCATTTATTTTTTTTTTTTGAATATTTTCTATCTTCAGTTTGCTGAATTCATGAATGTAGGGTGGGCCACTGTTTTTATGTATCGAGTATATTTCGCTTTACTGCCAGATCAGAAGTGTGTGTTTACATTTACCTGACATGATATGTTTATTTGGGGGCTAGGGAGTCCTTACAACAATGAAAACCCTGATGTGGCTGCATTCTGCTTCACGTGCTTTCTGCTGCCAGAGCCGCACAATTTTCACAGAGTGACTCAGAACAAGTTTAGGAATATGTGGGTATTTCCATACTGGGTCAGATATCCACATCCCAAAATCCATCCCTCCCTTTCCTCCTCTTCCTGTTGCCTAACTACAGCCCACTCATGCTCTTGTAGCCAAGACTAGGCCACAGTAGAGGCATCTGAGAAGGCCAAGGTGTGCCTGCAGCTAGAGGAGAGGAATTCTATCATTTGCTGAGCCAAAGTGAAGCTGGATCTTGCTCATAGGCAAGGGTGTCCCTCCATGGCTTGCACTGGTCTCTTGCTGCTTTAGGTACTCAATTAGTGTCCCAGAAACTCACTCCCATTTTCTGCCACTTTTCCTGGGGTTTAGATTCCCTCCCCTTTAAGGTACAGCCAAGCCAGGCCCAGACTGACCCTTCTTCAACTCATCAGTCAATGCTACTGTCGTTGGCCTTGGAATACAACCTCAAGAACACAATTGCTCAAGAATGGGATGGCCAGGACTTGTTATTTCTGAAAACTGTAAGTCCAGTGGATTCAGCCTTGCTCAGCATGCAGAACACAGGCCATCTGTCCTCTGTCATATGCTCAGTATTTCCCACCCAGGTAGAGCCAGTCCTCTTCTTCCAGGAACTGGCTAGGGTCCTCAATCCCATTCATGATAAAAGCATTCTCATACAACACGAAAGATGTTGTGTCAATTATTCCAATGTGTTGGAAGCTTAATTCCCAGTGCAAAAATATTAAGAGGGGTGCCTTAAAGAAATGACTATGGCATGAGGGCTCTGTCCTAACTAACAAGTGGCTTAGTGCTACTATCTCGTGGGTGGGTGACTTACCTCTAGTAGGCTTGTTACAAAGTGGCCCTGTGTTGCATATGGTCACAATTTCAACCTCTCTCTCACCCTCCTTGGCCTCCCAAAGTGCTGGGATTACAGGCATGAGCCACCATGCTAGGCCAAGACAGGACTGCTTTTAAAGAGAGAGAGAGGCAGGGTGTGGTGGCTCATGCCTGTAATCCCAGCACTTTGGGAGGCTGAGGCAGGTGGATCACAAGGTCAGGAGTTCGAGACCAGCCTGGCCAATATGGTGAAACCCCGTCTCTACTAAAAATGCAAAACTTAGCCGGGCATGGTGGTGTGTGCCTATAGTGCCAGCTACTCGGGAGGCTGAGGCAGAAGAATCGCTTGAACTCAGGAGGTGGAGGTTGCAGTGAGCCAAGGTCATGCCACTGCACTCCAGCCTGGGTGACAGAGTGAGACTCTATCTCAAAAAATAAAAAAATATATATGGCTCATTGTCCCCAAAAAAGACAATTCTGCCAAATTATCACAGCTAGGAAGCCCTAAGTGGGAGTGGCTGAGGCCTTTGTTGTGACTGCCCCAGAGCCCAATTCACATTCCCTTTGCCCACTCTGAGATGTTATTCCCCAGAGCACCAATGTGAAATGTCCTGCACACAATCTCCATCTCAGAGTCTCATCCCCAGAAACTCACCCTGCTGCAGGGGTGCAAAGGCTTCCAAACTTAACATGACTTTTCATCTAGTCTCCAGGACGATTCTCTGGGCAGAATTACCAAATAGAATAAATATCCATCAGTTGGTACCATTTTATTTCTGTGCCTCTTATCTGTCTATAGGACACAGTGGGTGGGCATCACTGGTGACCATGCAAGCAAGTTCCTGCTACTTGATAAGACCATGTGCCTTCTCAGCAGTAATGTTCAGAGCTAAATAAAAATAAATTTTAAAAGACTGTATGCTTTCCGGATACGTGGTGTGGGTGCTCTGCTCCAGTCTGTCAAGCTCACCCATTGTATTTATGCTCCTCCTCCCACCCACAACCACACACTGAAGAAAAACAACCTGTCTTCTCACAGTAACTATTTTCTGTGGATATTACCATTTTCTCTAGGTACTGGGGTTCAAACCTCAGGGTTTTCTTTTTAAGAATCAATTTGGGGGCCTCATGCCTGTAATCCTAGCACTTTGGGAGACTGAGGCAGGATGTGCCCCAGTAAAATAAATGGGAAAAGGCCCCGCCCAGCTTGCCCCCTCTTGCCACAACCTCAGCCACTGGAAACAGGACTACCCTGAGAGCTGAAGGGCCCAGGGACAGAATCCCAACCCTTCATAGCCTTGAGCTAAGGGGCTCTCTGCTCTGGCTAATCTTAACTGGTGACTTACAGAGTGGAAGAGAAATCGTCTCATATCATGTAAATCTGGGATGCTAAGGCTCTCCTTAGCAGAAAATACATGAGGGTGCTAGGGGTGCTGGCCCCACACTGTGCAGTGGCCAGAAGGCTCACAAATCCTCCTGTAAAGCTTAACCTTTTCCTCTCCATTCTTTCATTTCTTTTTCTCTTTTTCTGTTCAATTCAAAAACCCAGCCCTAAAAGGGAAAACACAATTTCTAATATCCTAACCCCTGATTCTGTCGTTCTCATTAAAACTCCAATTGGTGACATATTATGGCCCACTTCATACATGTTTTAAACTAATAGATAAACTACAACAAGAAAAATTCAGCACTCAAATTGTTAACCTGCACAACGGAGTTAAGTAGAGTCCCCTAAAGCTCTCTGTTTTCCTCCTTTTTTCTACCTGCTTAAAATCTACTGTTACTAAGCTGCTGATGCTGAGATAAGACTCATCATTTATGGTCTAACTGGAAAGTAAACATTGGAAACCCATTTAAAGAAAAAAAGAGGCAAAAGAGGTTTTATTAAACCAAACAACTTATATATTTTTAACTTCCCTTAAAATTAATGAAAATAAATCCAACACTTCTTTTAGCCTCTTTTTTTTTTTTCCAGATGGAGTCTCGTTCTGTCACCAGGCTGGAGTGCAGTGGCACAATCTCCCCGTTCAAGCAATTCTCCTGCCTCAGCCTCCCAAGCAGCTGGGACGACAGACGTGCACCACCATGCCCGGCTAATTTTTGTATTTTTAGTACAGACAGGGTTTCACCCATGAAAAAAAGCTCACTATCACTAATCATTAGAGAAACGCAAATCGAAACCATATGAGATACCATCTCACACCAGTCAGAATGGCCATTATTAAAAAGTCAAAAAATAACAGATGCTGGCAAGATGTGGAGAAAAAGGAATGCTTATAAACTGTTGATGGAAACGTAAATCAGTTCAACCATTGTCAAAGATGGTTGATTCTTCAAAATCACCATTCCTCATTTGGGCACAGTGGCTCACACACACCTGTAATTTCAGCACTCTGGGAGGCGGAGGTGGGCGGATCACTTGAGTCCAAGAGTTTGAAGCCAGCCTGGCCAACATAGTGAAACCTCATCGCTACTAAAAATACAAAAATTAGCTGGGTGTGGTGGCAGGCACCTGTAATACCAGCTACTCTAGAGGCTAAGGCAGGACAATTACTTGATCCCGGGAGACGGAGATTGCAGTGAGCCGACCTGGCGCCACTGCACTCCACTCAAGCCTGGGCAATAGAGTGAGACTACATCTCAAAAAAAAGAATCACCATTCCTCATGATGATTCCTCAAAGACCATCGCTCACCCATGACAATATACCCTTGGATTCTGTCAACCAAGAAGATGAGAAATACCAGACTGCAAAGCAGTAAGACAAGATGTTTTTGCGTCTTGGGAATTCCAGACTTAGGAGAAACAGATTAAGTTAGCAGCCAAATTGTATTCCAAAGAACTGAAGTAAAGTAGGAATTTTTTTAAAGGACACTGAA